TGTGTGTAGGCATGTGTGGGTAGATAAGTAGAAGGAGAGTTCTCGGCAGTACGACCTAAGCCTCCTTTCCCTTTCTACTGCCCTGAACTTAAGGTTCCTTGAGATTCAGACAGATACACTAAGAACTGCTCAGGGTAGATTGGAGAGAGAAACAATAGTTCAAAAATGCTAAATCTCTCAGTAGAAGAACAGCCAAGATGGGAACTGCAAAAACTTTCAGAACTGGCCTAGCAAGACATAATAGCTGTGAGAGGGAAAACACCAAGTCAAGGGTAGGGCAGAGCAAATGAAGAAGGGAAGAAAAAAGTAACACAGAAAAGAATGATCCTGGGGAGGAGTCTAGAAGGTGAAAGGTTTGCTTTGTGGACCCTTCATTTCCCCTTCCTTTTTCCATGCTCTTTGTCTTTTTCCTCCCCCAGGAGAACTGTCAGAATGAGGAGATCCTGAACAGTCTCAAGTACGTCCGCCCTGGGGATGGATTCCAGCCCACCTTCACCCTTGCCCAGAAGTGTGATGTGAATGGTCAGAATGAGCATCCTGTCTTCGCCTACCTGAAGGACAAGCTCCCCTACCCCTATGATGACCCATTTTCTCTCATGACCGATCCCAAGTACATCATTTGGAGCCCAGTGCGCCGCTCAGATGTGTCCTGGAACTTTGAGAAGTTCCTTATCGGGCCGGAGGGGGAGCCCTTCCGACGCTACAGCCGCACCTTCCAAACCATCAACATCGAGCCCGACATCAAGCGCCTCCTCAAAGTTGCCATATAGACGCGGGCTGCTCAGCACACAGATCTCCTCCTCCATCCAGCCCCTGAGTATCTCTCCTTAGGATTCAGAGTGTCCTCGGGAGACACTGCTGGACCTGAGCTTTCCCCTGAGGTCATTCTCCTTCATCAAAGAGCCTTGCCTTTCCTGTCAGCCTGCTTCTCTCCCAATCTTCTGGTTGGTGATTCAATTTGGCCTCCAAGACGTAGGCGAGCTCTGGGCCTTCACAGAATGATGGCACCGTCCTAAACCTGTATGGGCGGGGTCTGAGACATGTGAAGAGCCCGTGCCAGCCTGCTTCCTGAGTCCAATAAATGGCAGGTGTGGAAATGGCCAGACACTCTGTGTCTTCTTCCTTGACAGGGTGGAGGGATGGTGCAAACTGCAGGGGGGCCAGAGGAGCTGGCAGCACACCAAGGCTTGGGAGAGGGAGGCTCTGATCAAGGGGACCCCCTAACTGCTGCCTGGAAAGCAGGCCCTGGTCAAGTTCTGCGAGGCAGGTGGAGTGGCAGGAAAGTAAATTGTTTTATTATTTTATGGCTCTTCTCCAGAACTGTGGGAAGGAGGTGGTAAAGAGGAGGGCAAGACAATGGGCCCTTTGGTTGGGGTACCAAGAGGTTAGTTAGAGGATTCCCAGAAGTTGAGGTTATCGAGGCTATCGCTATGGGTACTGGGCCAATTAAATATTACCTGCCCCTTGAGGGTTACCTGGGAAGTCAATTCGGTGGACTTTCACGAGCAGCAGGGTGGGGAGGGTGCAGTTACTGGTACAAAAGGGCACTTCATCGGTTTCCTGGAAACCTTGCTGAGCACACTTGTTTCTGATCTTGTGCTAGACTGACTCTCCCTCCTTTATAACGTTCACATTGCACCCTTGTCTTAGCCTCGCAGATTCACAAATTCAGGCACAAGACAAACAAGTTTAGGCGTGAACAATCGGCTTTGTTTCTCCCACAAGGGTGGGATGGGCCAGGGCCTCCCTTCCCAGTCAGACTGCCAGCTGTTCTCTGTGACAGCAGAGTTCTGCCCAATGGCTTTGTGAGGACGCGTCCAGGGTCCTCATCTCATCCAGGCACACTCCCAAAACACGCCACTGCCAAGGCCAGGCCTGATCACGCTCTGGAAAAGACGTGCTGAAAGGCCCCTGCCCTGTCACTCCGCCCCACAAACCTCTCCCTAGAAACTTCTCATTGCACCTTTCCTTCTCTGACCACTAGATGGAATATTTCACTTCTCTTTGGTGAAGCCCTGAAGGGACAGTTCTCCAGACTGAACACACGGCTTGAGAACGCCAGTGCTGAGGGGAAAGGCTTTTCCTACAAGGCTCCCCAGACTATTTTCTAAGCACTTGCATCTTCTGAGAAGCAAATGTAGAACAGAGGTTAAGGATCCCATGGTCTGAGCTTCAACTAAAGCTATGTCATCGACTGTGCTTTCTTTCGAAAGGGTAACCTGAGCCTTATAGTGGGAATCCCCTGGCACCCTTCTGCCGGGCCTTCTGCTAAATTAAGGTTGCCCTTGACTTGAAAACTCAAGCCTTTTAAGATTCCTGCTCTTAAAGCCAACATTGGGGTATGGATTGGGGCGGGGGCAGGACCAACTACTGATTTTAGAGCAATAACTGCAGAGACAAATTGCTTTCCTGAAGAAATGAAAGACACAATTTGTGTTGGGTGCTAGAATGACTTGTTCATCATCTTGATAGTGTTATAGCCTGTGTTACGTCTAGTAACAGAGGCAGCTATCCTGGATGTTGGCATTATGCTACAGGCAATTTAGGGCCTGACATGCCAGTACAGTATGTTGGGTCTTTCCCATGAGGCTCGAGTTGAATTATTTAGAGATCCCAAAGGAATGGGAATTATAAGTGATTTTGCAGAGAGAGTCAGAAAGGACCCTAATGCTCTGAAGAGGGCCCCTCTTTGTGCAGGGGAAATGCTATTTGCTTCAGAAGGGACCTGACCAGTTTGGCTCAGGAAGGAACAGGGCGGCAGGGCTGGAGGAACGTTTTTACAAGGGTGCTTTGTTTTACTAAATCATTAGTTGTGCTGTTGTTAAAATCAAATGAGAAACTGTTTCCTTTCCTTAAGTCCTCATCTTGTTTGTCGCTCTTTACATCCTCAACAGTAGCCGCTTATGGTCATAAACTTAATGACAAAGCAAAGCTTTATATAATCACCCATTTTCCTAGATCAACAAAATCTTTTAATCAAATTTCCAGAGGGGCACTCAGGAAGCAGGGAGAAGGCTCATCAACAAGCTTCCCCACAAGTGCTGAGGTAATGCTGCTCCATTTGGAGGGACAGAGATCATCGTTTCTCTGAGGACTCTTCCAAAAATATAGCCACTGGCTTCAAATAACTGATTTCAGAGGATCAAGATACGGAATGAAACTGATGATTATTTCCATAACCATGTTCCCATAGCTATTTGTCCTTAGTTTAAGAAAGTTAGCCAACCTCTAATTGGTGATTTCTTATAATCACTATCACAACCATCACCCAAACTACCATTTAGTATACTCATATACTGCACTACTTTATTTATTGATTTTTTTTTTTTAAAGAGAGGGAGGAAGGGAGAAAGAGGAACATCGATGTGAGAGAGATACATTGATCTGTTGCCACCTGTATGTGCACCAATTGGGGATCGAACCTGCAACCTAGGTATGTACTCTGACCAGGAATCGAACCCACAACCTTCTTTTCTTTTTATCCTCACCCAAGGGTATTTTCTCCATTGATTTCTAGAGAGAGATGCAAGGGAGGGAGGAGGGGGAGAGAGAGAGAGAAACATTTTCGTGAACAAGACACGACTGGCTGCCTCCTGCACATGCCCCTACTGGGGCTAGGGAACCTGCAACCAAGGTACGTGCCCTTGACAGGGAATCAAACTCACGACCTTTGGTCCGAGGGTTGACACTCTAACCACTGCTCCAAACTGGTCAGGGCTGAACCCGCATCCTCCTGGTGCACGGCACAATGCTCAACTAACTGGGCCACAGTGGCTAGGGCTACACTAAGTACTTTAAATAGGTTAGGCCAGTGGTCGGCAAACTGCGGCTCAGCAAACCGTGGCTCGCGAGCCACATGCGGTTCTTTGGCCCCTTGAGTGTGGCTCTTCCACAAAATACTGACTTCTGCGCATGGGACACGAAGCTTCAATTGCACTGTACGTGCGCCCCCACACGTGGTATTTTGTGGAAGAGCCACACTCAAGGGGCCAAAGAGCCGCATGCGGCTCGCGAGCTGCAGTTTGCCGACCACGGGGTTAGGCTAATTAATCCTCATATTGACCCTGCGAGGAATTTTTATCTCTATTTAAAGAGAAGGAAAGTAATAGTGTCAACAATATAAATAAATGGTAATTGAGCAAGACACCTGCCAAGGACAAAGGACTATAGAGTAGCAGAACTGAAAGTTAATCCCAGGTCAGCCTGACTTCAAAGCCCCTACTCTTAACCATGACACCACTGCTTCCTTCTATCTCAGTTTCTTCATAAAGACCACTGACAGCTGCCTATTCACCCCACACTGTACAACCTAAAAACCTTTCACTTATATCATTTGATTTAAAAACTCCATGAAGGAGGCATGATTATTTCTATTCTTCCACTGAAGAAACCAAGGTACAGATAGAATACAAGACTTGTCTAACCTCCCACCATGAGCATGTGGCAAAGCTAATTCTAGACCCAGGTTCTTGATTTCCTTTCTCCCCATCCACAGTGTCTCTCACAACAGAGACTTGTTTTACAGCCAAGAAATACACATGTTAAAGCCGAGAGCCTCAAATGAAGTCGATAACTTAACCTTGCTCACAAAAGAATAAAACCGAAAGGATTGCTGATACACTGAAATAAAGAACAGTGAACATATATATTTTTAGTGATAACTTACAAGTAACAAACCATATCTGCTTGTGCCCAGACTATATAATGTATCCATTAATTAGTATTGGGAGAACCCAGAACAACTTGAGAAAGACAGAGCTAGCTAAATCAACACAATAAACATACTGAGCTTTGAACTCCAAGATCTGAACTAAGCAGACCCAGATCTGTACCTCATGGGGCAAATAGAGAAAGAATGAGGTGTCAGGACACGCCCACACCCCCAATTACACCTATAGGTGAAGCCTTGTCCTTCTTGTATCTCAGGGTAGGAAGATAAAAAAAGATTGATGCTTTTTGCCTGGTTCCTCTTTATTTAAACAGAAAAATAGACTCAGTAGAACTGGGTTCAAAAGGTCTTTATTCTTTTAGATCCAGAGAAAAATTCTAGAAGATGAAAAAGAAAGTACCACAAAACATAGCATGATGTTGGTAAAATAATAAAATAGATGGATAGGATTTTATGTTTTAAATTTTTGTAGTATATTTAGTTCAAAATAGATAATAATTATACATCTTGCAATAGATGAAGATATCAGTGGAGGCATGTGAAATTGTACTCTTGAGCTCCAAATGACTAAGTTGGAAGCATTCAAACCCCAAAAAGGGACGATTCAGAGGCTGTAACGGGCTTAGTGCTATTTAAAGTAATGAAGCACTTTCTCTACTTTCTGGATTCATTTCACCAAATGATTTCCTCAGCAGGTCAGATATAGATTTGCAGTAAGTGGAAAATATTTTCCAGGAATAAAACAACTGATTCCTAAGGCGCAGCTAACTGAGCTTTTCCAAATAATAAATTCTGGTCTGACATGCCTCGGTTTCTCAGAGGGCGGTCACCGATATTCTCAGACTCTCCCTGACCTTGCCAGGCCCTCTACGTCATGTGTACTGAGCGCTCCTGAGAGGGGGTGACCACTAGCTGTGTGGCCCTGAGTGAGCTACTCAACTGCTGTGCTTAGTTTCTTTGGCTCTAAAATCGGATTAATAATAGTACCTGCCTCATGGAGCTGTGAATGAGGATTAAATCAGTGCTTTTTTAAAAAGGCCTTGCCACAAAGTAAGGACTCAATAAACCTCAGTCTTTATTATCCCTGTTATATAACAAAGCTTTACCCTGGTATCAATAATGATCGTTTTGCTCACCTTTTTTTCTTACAAGCAAAGCCTTAGTCCAGAATGCCTAAGTCTCTTAGATCTGAAGAGGAAACAATTTTGTTTCTAATGCCTAACCCTTTTAAGTTTGGTCTCACACTGAGAACTAACTGAAGCCATCTCATTTGTATCTAGTTCTTTCTATGCTTTCCAGAGCATTTTACATTCATTATTCATTTGGATCTCTCAATAATACTGTGCAGGATATATAATATCAATTCTTATTAGACCAATTTTTTTAAAAAGGGGACAATAAAAAATAGAGTAATGCTTTGCTTAATGGTTGTGCTGCTACCAAATAGCAGAGGGGCCTAAATGCCAGTTTAGAACACCCAGTGTTCTTTCAACTATGCAAGTTAAGATAGTCTTAGATTCCTTTGGAGCAAAAGAAACCATTCTATTTATATTAACAAAAGTCCACACTTTATTCAGATTTCCCCAGTTTTCCCCAAATGTCCTTTTTCTGGTGTAAGATCCCATTTAGGATATGACATTACATTCAGTAGTTGTTTACTTACTTAGAGTAAATCAGTTTCTCAGACTTCCTTATCTTTGATGACCTGACAGTTGTGAGGAGCACTGGTCAGGTATTTTGTAGAATGTCCCTGAACTGGGATTTGTTTGATGTTTTTCTAATGATGAGACTGGAGTTATGGGTTTGGGGGAGAATACTATAAAGGTAAAGTGCCATTCTCATCACATCATGCTATCACATGGCCGATCACCAATGATGTTCACCTTGATCCGGGCTAGTGTTTGTCCCCTTTCAATACTATACTCTGGAGGGAAGTCAACACACACACTCACACTTAAGGAGTGGGGAATATCTACATACATTATTTGAAAATCTTTTGCATGGGAGATCTGCTATCGTAATGTATATATTTACTTATTCAATCATTTATTTATGTCAGTATGGATTCATGAATATTTATTTTACAGTTTGGGTTATAATCCAATGCTACTTAACTTTTCACTCCAATTGTTCCAGCTTTGGTTACTGGGAGCTCCTTCACTTGGCTCTTCTGTCCTTCGGGCATCCCCCACCATTGTGATTTTTTTCTGAGCACTTTCTTTTTTTTGTGGCGCAAGATGCTCCAGGCTCATCTTGGGTATTTATAGCCCTAATCCTAGAGTAAGTCATTTCTCCAAGGAGCCCTGCTTCCTTTTACTGGAACCAAGATCTGGGCACTAGGTTCTCCCATTCTAATTATTTTTAGCCACATAGCACTAACAAAGATGCTTCATTCTGGCTGCACCAATGTGAACTGGGAACTTTGGCAGAAGAGCTCAGCTCTAGAGAGCAGTAATCCCCCAAATTACTTCTTTTCTTTCAAAGAATAGGTAAGTCTAAGCAGAAACAAATAAGCAAATAATTTCCATTATAAACTAAGACAAACCATCAGGTTTGCAGTATTGTAACCAACACAACCTAGTTCTACAGAACTGCAGAAGGGTCCTTAGAATAACAGAGTCATCTGTCGGGGGTCATCAGGGAGAATGCTGATAGTATCTTCAGCTTTGCCACATAACAAACACAGCATGGTGTACTCCTAGAACAAGATAAAGTGCATCATTACCGCGAGGGACAGGGAGGAAGATGCTTCCTGACTTACTCAGGTGCTGCTCTCTACATTGCTGTGGATATTCTTCTTCTAAGTTAGGTCAATTTCAACACCTATAAACAATGTCTTAGGTTTATTCTGTGTATCCCATAGCCTTTTGTTTATATAAACTGAATACACGCTGATGCTCTATTTACTATGAATACAAGAATGCCATCTTGGAAATGCATGGCCATTTCTTGGACTTAAAAAACACACATATTGGGCTTAGTTAGTGCTGCTATTTGAGTGTGGGCCCCTAAGGACAAATTCCTGATCATAGAGATGTTCCTTTCTAGGATATTTAGCACTAATATGCAATAGAAATGATTTTTAAAAGAATAAACAAGGGAGAAAATTCCTAAACCAAAAAAGCTATTTAACCTACCCCAAGAAAATAAAAAATTATATTAAATCCACTAGTACGTCAAGCATGCCTTATATTTAGATAGCCAGTTATCTGGAATTTGATCTATTTAGGGAGTTTTATGTTTCTTGGGTTTAAATCCACTAGTACGTCAAGCATGCCTCATATTTAGATAGTCAGTTATCTGGAATTTGATTTATTTAGAGAGTTTTATGTTTCTTGGGTTTAACAAATGTTCAGACTAGTGACAGAAGGGATTTTGTTTCAAGCAAAAATCCTCAGGGCAAAGTCCTGTTCTAATAGAGGTCCCTTTCTAGAATATTTAATATGTTCATAAACTATAGAAACATTTCTTTGAAACCTTTTGCTTAAAAACCTTTATCTTCTTTAGGAAAACAAAATCGATGTCAAATCTACACGTATTTCTGCACCCGACACTGAGATGCTAGCTGTCTGGCAACTGATCAGTCAAGGCAGTTAGCGTTCCATGGGTCTGGACAGTCACTAGAGAGAGGGCCACAGAGACAAACAACGACTACAGCACGAAGACTCAGAACCAGGCAACTGCCTTTCCATTTCCTTCTAGTGAGTTCGGCAGGGAGCTTAACTGTGCAGTGGACTGTTTCTTAAAGACTACATGTAATTTTAAAGTCTACTCCACACACACTGTAGAAATAAATAGAGGCTAGACCTCAGCAAACAAATGAAAGTCCCATGAATTAAAAATAAAATAAAAATCCAGTCTCTCCAAGGTCTTTTACTGCCTTCAAATACTTCTGCTTTCACCCACTGGACATTACTAGTAGGATGTCAGCCTCCCACTGAAATGAAGAAGAAAAAGGTAATAAAGTCAAATGGGACTATTTGTGAAGCTAGATAAATATCTGAGTTTTCAACCAATCTATCCATTGACAAGTTTTTATTTAGTCCAAGGAACACTGGTAGACATGAAAGAAGGCAAGGACAAAACTGACCGTGCAAAACTTACAACCTAATTTGGGAGAAAAAACAAACACACAACTAGCATATGGTATAATTTGTAAAGATTGATTATAGGCAGTCTGTATTCCAAATTTCATTGTAGGTCAACTGTTAGGAATTCAAAAGCAGTTTCCCACAGAAGTAGTTGTACCCGACAGATTCCCAGGAACTCCAGGGAGTCTTTTAAATTTATATTGTACAAGTACTATAGATTCTAACCATATATAGCAGCACTTCTGTGGGAAAATATGTCTAGAATTCTACCTTGGAGTGCCAGAAACATATCTCCATGTGCTGCCAGGAATGTGGTGGGATTGGGAAACCTTTTACCAAAACTAGCCAACTTGGGAGAATAAGAATTCCTCCCAGTTATTCATGGAGACCTTCAAAGGCTCCACCTGGGCAAAGCCAAAGGGCACAGATTTGGAAGGAAGGGTGGAGTGGGTGGAATCACCTTTGGGGGAGACCAGATCCTCTGGCTTATTCTGAGGTCCCATGGCTAGATCACAGAGGTCCCTTTTCTCTAGCACTATATATTAATTCTGACTCCAAGGCCTCTCCTCCCTGGTCCACAGAGGAACAGAAAGCAATCTCACAGTCCCCTCTTGTGTCCTGGGGCAAACACACAGTCATTTTAATGGCTTTTAGGGTGATATAAAAAATAAAGAATATCTGTAATCATTTATAATGTATTTTCCACCAACTCTGTACTTCTGTCTCTACTTTCCCCTCTATTCTTGCCATCAGAAAATCTTCTTTGTTTAGCAATGGCATTGTGGTTGCTTTATAAACAGGAATACATACTGACATATTTGTAGAAGTAGTGATACATTTGGCATTTGTTTCAAAATTATCCTGTGGGGAGACATGGGAATGGTGAGGTACAATTAAAGCTGGGTAATGGAGGTTAATAGTCTATTCTGCCTATTTTTTATTATGTTTAAAATTCCTATAAGACATTTAAAACAAAACAATACATTATCACTGGTGGGCATTGCACTTTGAACCTGAACCACTGCCGGAATAAGTTGAGGCTGAATAAGGTGGGGAAGAGAAAACTAAGTCACAGCAGCTGAGAATGAAGACCTATAGGGCCTGCTATAGGTACAAGAAGTGCTCAGAAAAAGGAGAAAGAAGTATGGGCTGAACTGTCAAGAGCAAGGAGATAAAATTTAAACTCAGTTTAAAAGAGGTAAGATTTAGTTGGCTTGAAGGTAGAGAAAGGAACCAGTCAAGGAAAAAGTCCGAATAAGGACAGTGATATGAAAAAGAGCAGCATATGCCTATGCAGTAGCAGAGGAGCGACAGGGTGATATGCTTAAGGAAGATTAACTGAGGGCAGAGTGCAGAACTACAGTTTGGGGGCTGCTGCAGTAATTTGGTTTGAGTGGCTATTGTCCGTGACACAAGGTTTGGCAATGGAGCAAAAATAAGAGAAACAGAGGAAAAAAGAGGGCAGGTAAGATATTGGGCTTAGAGAAGGAGATTTGGAAGATACCTGATAGGTTTTAAATGAGACGGAGTGTGCTCTCTATTTGATGGAGTATAGAGAAGGTCCTAGGCCAGACACCAAAGCTTAGGGGAAAAGGAGGGAAAACAGGAAAGGAAACCAGAGAAAAAGCAAATGAGCAGCTAAATGATTTAAAAGAAATAAAAAAAGCCTAGCAATATGGACCTAAGGGAAGCAATGCTTTAAAAAGACAACAATGGTTAACAAAACCAGAATCAGAAGAGATGCTAAAAGAGGTAAGAACTATTCTGGGAAACCTATGAGAGAAGAGTTTTAGAAAAGTGAAAGTGAAAACCAGTTTGTAGGTGGTTAAGAGGAACATAGAGAAATAAGGGAAGCAGGATATAAACCTATTCAAGTAATAAAGCAAAAGGAAGGAAAGATGATGAGAGGATGCATCAAAGAGGGAGCTAAGCAAAATAAAAGAGTTTATTTTTAACAAATAAAGAAGGACAGAGTATACTGAATGTAAACAATGTTAAGTCCCATGGAAAAAAAGAGTATGCTAAAGAGAGACGGTAACACGAGACTCCTGAAGAAATGGCAGGGGTAAGCATCAGAGGAAATGAAACTCCCCGCTGTAACAGGAGGGCAGGAAGAAGTCTAAGGTCAGCGCTGTGTGGTGCACATGAGGAGAGCGGTGGGAAACTAGGGAAAGTGAAGCCACCGCCCAGCAAGAACGTTGGAAAGAGGAGTTTGGACATTATACTGTAGCTAAAGGTGAGCTACGAAGAGCCAATGAGGCAGTCTGATGGCAGAATTTCACATATGAGAGGGGGAAAGTGGATGCTGGGAGAGAGAACACTGGAGATCAAGAGTCCAGTCTAAGAGATTTTTTTTCAAGAGAATTTCACACTATCTGGGCATTGTGACAGTAAACCATCCTCCTTTCACAGAGTAATTTCTAGGGCAGCTTTGAACATGGCTGCATCCAGTCATAAAGGAAAATCAGCCTGAGTTTGGTCTCGTGGCAGCAATTTTCAATGGCTCAATTAGGGCATGAACAAGCAATCTCAATATCCATTTAGGAACTCTAAAAAGCTCTCAGGTCCTTCAGGAGCTTCTGGAAAATAGCTACAAGCATTCCTTTCCTCCCATGAAAGCATGGAGCTGCTCCTTTAAGCTCATGACATGCTTGTTCCCCTATCTGGCCACTGCTCATTCACTGAAATCTCGATTTCGGCCTCGGTTACATATATCATATAAATATTTTTTGAGGTATAATTTTTGGATACTGAGGAGATGCGGTCAGGATGCTATTTATTTATAAGCACAATATATTGGACCAGATTATGACAGGTGACTAAGTGTTTTCTTGCACACTAAAATAAGAATGAGTGGTTATACTATTTTATAATATTCTATTATGAAAGATTTTATTTTTTCCTAATTATACTACTACCCAAATCTGGAGGATTTAAAAAAAATTCCTTTGCCTGTTAAAAGCGCTAACTTATATCCTACGGATGAACATTTAGTTCACACTAAATAAGTAACTCAAGGTGAAGGCTTGAAAATGGAGAGTGAAGGACAGATGCAGGCTGCAGCGTGTCCTCATGGTTAAAGTGTGCCCTTGGCTCTCCCGCACGGTCCAGCTTTCCTTCCTGACCTTTAGACCTACTTCAGGCCTACACGAACCTGTAGAATTCTGTTGCATTCTTCGCACGCTCTCAAAATTGTCTAAGGACTAATCCTTATTCTCTGTAAATCCCTATTCTCTGTCCTAAGAGTGGTTCAACGTCTCTCCTCCAACCTTGATACATCCATTTTGTTATTTTACCTACCAAATAATATTAAAATGTCTTACTGCAATGGAGACTACAGAATTGCTCAACTCTACATGCCTATTAGGGAAAACCTCCTTATCACAATTTCCATGCCCAGCAAGTATGATGACAGTGGGTGGGCCAACACTCAAAGCCAAAAATTGTGCAATCATATAACTCCGTAAAGAAAAAAGATACACAACAGTAACCTCATAGTAATGTTCTTCATAAAAATGACAGAACTGAGAAATCATCTGTAAAATACACACTCTGATTTCTGATTCTTGTGAAGACAGGTTTGAGCAGATCCACCCACATCTAAAGTTTCTCTCTCAAGTTACACAGGTAGAAGAGAGGGATGGTCTCTTCTAATATTCGCTAGTACTTCATTTATGAAAACTATATCCAGATTTTCAAGATTCTTTTATTACTTCCCCCACCAATAACATACCCATAGTTATACATTTACCTGAAATTCATCCATGATACTGAATGTATATTCATGTCTGGCTACTACGTGATGACAATTCTGACACAGATCTGCCAAAACAGAGAGAGACTTAAATATTAAATAATTAAGTCCTGGAAGGTGTCTTAAGGCAGTAGAATGTCTATTCTCAGCAATGGTATTGCTTTAAAACATCTACCTTGATAAGAAATCCAGAATTCGAGACATAGAAACACTACATAATTAAGAGCCTAAGTTCAGACACTCAATGTGCACATATTAATTCCCACTGAATGCTCTCTAAGGTAATCAGTAAACAGATATGTAAGGCTGTTTTTTAAACCAGCTAGTCCTATCTAACTATATAAAAGCTTTTATTCTCTGGAATGATAGAAATTGTGCTATGACAACCAATCATAAATAAACAACTAATGCTAGACATTAAAGTAAATCTAGTGGTAAAAAAAATACTCTAGTAAAAACAATATGATAGCACTAGCCAGTTTGGCTCGGTAGATAGAGCATGGGCCCGTGGACTGAAGGGTCCTGGTTTTGATTCTGGTCAAGGGCATGTACCTCAGTTGCAGATTTGATCCCTGGTCCTGGCCAGGGCTCAAGCGGGGGGTAACCAATCAAAGTGTCTCTCTTACATAGATGTTTCTCTCTCTCTCTCCTCCTTCCCACTCTCTCTAAAAAATCAATGGAAAAATATCCTCAGGTGAGGATTAACAGAACAAAACAATATGATAATAATAACTATGATTTATTGAGTGTTTACAGTGCGCCAGATAATGTTTTAAATATGTTGTATCCATTTACCCATTTAATTTTCTCAAAAACTCAAAGAGCTAGATACAATTTTTAGGGATAAGGAAACAAACGCATACTGTAGTTATATAACTAGGAAGACTACTGAGTTAGTAAGTATTGGAACCAGAACTCAACACCAAGCATTCTGGCTCCAGAACCCTTGCTCTTAACCACTATGACTTACTACCTGAAAGGAAATTGAGTTTAAAACATTATATCTAAAAGAAAGAAAAAGATTCTTCTAATTTAGAAAAATTTTTTGATAGTCTGACTCTATTCTAAAGGCTTAGTGTTTTTATACCCCTCTAGCAAAATATCATTAGTTGTACATTTATTCCTTATATATTCAGAACATATCAAAGAACTAGGACACAAGCCAAAAGGACATCTGAACAGTGTAACTACTTGCTAACATATCTGGGCACTAAAGTGTACATGTACTTAATTTATTCATAGAACTTTGTAGAGCCAATCTCAGAATTGATTTATTTTTATTATCCATAGTTTATTTGTTTGGTTTCCCATTATTGAGGATGAGGAGCAGCATATACAGGGAGCATATTTACAGCAGCAAAAGAAACAACAGACTGGCCCTGGCCTGTGTGGCTCAGTTGGCTGAGAATCGTCCCATGCACCAAAAGATCGCTGGTTCAATTTTGGTAAGGACACATGCCCAGGTTGTGGGCTCGACCCCTGGTGGGAGGCAACAGATAGATGTTTCTCTCAAATCAATGTTTCTCTCTCTCTCCCAGTCCCCTTTCCTCTCTCTCTCTCTGCAATTAATAAAAACATGTTTTTTTTTAAAAAGAATGGCTCCTAAGTTTAAAAAAAAAAAAGACACAGAAGACTGATAGTGAGATAGGAGACCAAAAAAAGCTTTGAAAGGAGAAACAAGACCATAGAACTCAGAGACATTTAAAATAGGGGCAAACATGGCTTCTCGGCCTTTTGGCTAAGATAAAGTGTAAAACAGAAGCAAGCAACCCTAAACACTTTAATAGCTATAGGAGGACATCACTGTATTATACGACGTATAGTGGAAAATGAACACATGGATGACCCTAAGGTTAAAAAATAAAGTCTCTATATCTTGTCTCAGAAGGCATAAAGGCTTTAAAAATAAACAAACAAACAAAAATGGTGCCTGAATCATAAGCTTCAGTTATCTCCAAAAGTCATTTAAGTAGAATATCTAATGCTAGATAAATGAGGTGCTATTTATAATTTTCTCTTAAAAACCTAACTAACTAGTAACTATGTGTCGCAATATATTAAAATAGGCCTCATCATACTTCACACAACATACCAACTTCTAAAAGCCAATACCTGTTAACAGACTTGCGTGAAAAGAAAGGGCCACTGCCCTGACCTGTGTTGCTAAGTGGTTAGAGCGCCGGCCCTTGCACCAAAGGGTCACGGGTTCCATTCCCAGTCAAGGGCATGTACCTGGGTTGTAGGTTCAATCCCCGGCCACAGTGGGGGCAGGTGCAGGAGGCAACCAATAGAAAATCGATGGAAAAATATCCTCAGATGAGGATTAACAAAACAGACAAAAAGAAGGTCTACTTACGATCATAGGTAACTATTTCTTCTCCATCTTCTTCTTTCAAGGATTTGTTTGTGATCAGCATAAAATCCCGCTTACCACACACTGCACAGCCAGTAAAGTTCAGCAAGAAAGATCCATTCTCCAGGCAAATGTTACCCTAAAATAATAAAAATAGTAATTTAATTTTCTTATATTTCAAAATCCTTGGTGAAAATGATTAATAGATTTAAAATCTCTAAAGGCAAAAAAAAAAAAGCACCAAAATTTACTTGCTTGAAGGCAAAACCAATTAATTTTTGAAATTATTATTTTTTCCTCTAGATGTGCTATTCATGGTAAATAAAACTGAAATGGTGTTAGAGCTGTAAGTCTCTGAAATATGCAACTATGTTTAAGAGAAATAAATGCAAATGGATATTCAGAAACAATTAATGAAGCTTTAATAATATAAAATATGAAAAGAAAAAATTAAAGAAACATCATAGCAAACAATATTAAATGAGGTATCTTATCATAAAGCTAGAATTAAAATTCAATCAAAATGGAAACACTCAGCCAATAAAATGATCTTATACACTGCAATGCTCAGTTGATTGTTGAAACACCATTTTCTGAAGCCTTAAAAATACCATAACATAAACAAACAAAATAGACTCTTAGCTCTATAGATGTCAGTCCTAAAGAATATATGTGATTTAGGCAGAGGAGATAAACTCTGCAATTCATCAGACTAACACCATGGCAATTCAAAGAGAAAGAGCTCTGCTTCATCACCAAGAAACTAACAATTTATGCTCCTGGCTCAGGGGAAGTCTTTGTTCAAGGCTTACTAATAATTGTTCACAACTAAGAGTCATTTCATAAATAACCTACTTCAATCCCATTTCTGACCAGCAAACTTAAGAGTATTTTTAATAGTTAATGTGATTAAAAAACACTCAAATAAACATTTCTCCAATGTAGCTGCATGCTTGATACTGTGCAAAGCATAGTGGAGAAGTTGAGGATGAGTCACATGTTTCTTCTCTCAAAGAGCTATGAAGTATCAGGGAATTAAGGCCCAGCTGAAGTGATGTCACAGTGAAGCTATCCTGGATTCCCTGTACAATTAACCTCTCCTTTATGAGTCGCTCCTCGGTGCTATGCATTAAGGAAGAAATTAACTCTAATGAGGGGAAATCAAGCTAACTACATGTATGTAGTGTGAAGACATTAAATCGTAGGCACATGGACTTAACTACTAAAGAAGGGAAAAGCCTTGAGATTAAAGTATAAATTTCCAGCTATTAAGAACAAGTGTTTTGCTTTTATTAAAAAACAAGCCAGCATGACTCAGTGGTTGAGTATAGACCTATGAACCAGAGGGTCATGGTTCAATTACGGCTCAGGGCATGGTCAGGGCACATGACCTGTTACGGGTTGCGGGCTGGATCCCCAGTAGGGGCATGCAGGAGGCAGCCAATCAATGATTCTCTCTCATCACTGATGTTTCTATCTTTCTCTTCCTCTCTGAAATCAATAAAAATATTTTTTTAAAAACACACAACTCTAACTTACATACAATATTAAAAATACCATAACATAAACAAACATATTGTAACAGTATTGGTAAATGACTTTTAATAAACATACATGCCAATGTAAACACTACACCAATCAAGATATAAAAATGTCTGTCTTCCCAGGAAGTTCCTTTATGCTTTGCAGTTTATCTCTAACCCCTCTCTCATCTCAGGCACCCACTGATCTGATTTCTATCTCTAGAGATTAATTTTGCCTCTCCTGAAATTTTATATAAACAAAATCATGTAGTATACTCATCTGCATTCAGATTCTTTTGCTCAGCATAATATCCATGTTAATCACCTCTGTTGTTATATGGATTGGTAGTTTGCTGCTTTTTATTGCCAAGTAGTATACCATTGCATGGATTTATCTGTTGACAGACATTTGGGCTCTTTTCAGGTTTTGGCTATTATGAATAAAGCAGCAATGAAGATTCATGTATGTCTTGTGTGGACATACACCTTTCTCTTGGGTAAGTCACTAGAAGTGGAATTGCTGAATCAAATCATATCGTAAAAATATAATATATATAAACATTGTAATAAACTGCCACATGGTTTCTAGGTTTTCCATTTTCTATTCCCACCAGCAATGTGTGAGTTCCAGTTGCTCCACCTTCTCACCAACACTAGGTATTGTAAGATTTTTATATTTAATTTTAGCCATTCTAATGATGTAAAGTGGTATCTCATTGTAGCTTTAATTTGCATTTCTCTTATCCTATATAATAAAAGCCTAATATGCCAATCACCTGAATGGCAAAACAACTGGTTGCTATGATGTGCACTGACCACCAGGGGGAAGACGCTCAACGCAAGAGCTGTCCCCAGCCCACAGGTCCTAGGTCTGCCAAGGCGGGTGCCAGTGGAGGGGGGCGGGGGGGAGAATGGCCCCGCCGGACGCCCCACAGATCAGCCCTGATCGCTGGCCAGGCCTAGGGACCCTACCTGTGCAAGAATTTCATGCACCAGGCCTCTAGTGAATAATGAAGATGAGAATCTTTTCATGGTGCCTATTCATAAAAATATATATATATATATTTTATTGATTTTTTTACAGAAAGGAAGGGAGAAGGAGAGGGAGAGAGAGTTAGAAACATCAATGAGAGAGAAACAACGATCAGCTGCCTCCTGAACACCCTCTACTGGGGATGTGCCCACAACCAAGGTACATGCCCTTGACTGGAATCAAACCTGGGACCCTTCAGTCAACCGGTCAGGGCAGGCCCATTTTTTTAAAGTTAGGTTGTTTATCTTATTGAGTTATAAGCTATTGAGCTATAAGATTTCTTTATATCTCTTAGATACATATCCTTTATCAGACACATGTGTTACAAATATTTTCTCCCTGTCATTGGTTTGCCATTTTTATGGTGTCTTTTGAAGAGCAGTTTTGATTTTTTGAAGTCCAATTTATCAAACTGTTTCTTCCCTTATTTTTGTGCTTGTCTTCTAAGACATATTTGTTTACCCCAAGGTTGCAAAGATTTTCTCCTATGTTTTCTTCTAGAAATGCTATAGTTTTAGCTTGCTGGTTTAGGTTTATAATCATATTGAAATAATTTTACATATGATATGAATAATAAAGTTTCATTTATTTCCTTATGAATATTCAGTTGTTCCAGCAACATTTATTAAAAAGACTATCCTTTCCACATTGAGTGACATTGGCACCTTTGCGGAAAACTCAAATGACTACACATATGCGGGTCTACTTTTGACTATTCTGTTCCCTTGATTTATATGTCTATCTATGCACTACTATCACACTCTTTTGATTACTGTAGTCTTTAAAATCAGGTAGTCCTGATTGGATTTAAATCAGGACTGCCTTGAATCTATAAAAGCTGACTGTTAAGGACTCCAAGAAATTAAGGAATTAGAAACAGTCTTAAGAGAATAAAGCTCTAAATACCAATTTCAAGTAAATAGAACTCTGAACAGGACTGCACCCATAAATACGGGCACCTTGTATACAAAGTGGCTAATCCATGTAATCTGACCTTGTAAGTATGCAGAATGTAAACTCTAAACACTGACAGCATAAATCAAATTGGAAAGTTCAAGTTCTCAGTGTAACATTACAAGCAAGTAGGCCAGAGCTGTTAAAAATTCATTACTGTGTATCTCTAGTCTACAAAAAACACCTATCACAAAACTCCAGAAAATTTTATGAAAACAAAGATAAATAATTAGATATTTATTATCTACTCATTCTACACTTAGAACTTCCAATATGCTAATCCATTATTGTTTTCTGCCAAATTTTTTGAATGACTATACTTATTACCACCATCTTATTATTCTTTCCCTTGCTAAGCTCAAGCAAAGTGGCTCCGCTCTTACTGCCCTTAAAAATATCTATGGCTCAATAAAATCTCAAGGAAAGATGCTTGAGATGTCCAATGGTCAATCAGTCTTACTGAACATCAGGAAGAGAGTTCAATTCTTCTAAGGCAGTGGTTCTCAACCTTCTGGCCCTTTAAATACAGTTCCTCATGTTGTGACCCAACCATAAAATTATTTTCGTTGCTACCTCATAACTGTAATGTTGCTACTGTTATGAATCATAATGTAAATATCTGATATGCAGGATGGTCTTAGGCGACCCCTGTGAAAGGGTCGTTCGACCGCCAAAGTGGTTGCGACCCACAGGTTGAGAACCGCTGTTCTAAAGGTTACCTATTCCATTTTAAAAATCTGTTCAAGTTCTTTATTCTGATTCAAAGCCTACAATCCCATAACACCCACCAACTAATTATTTCTAATTCTGCCTTCTGAAATTCCAAAGAAAAGTTCTTCCTCATGACAACCCTTTAATTATTTTGGAGCATAATAAAATTGGAGAAAAGTGCTTACGAAAGGCACTTTCCTAAGTTTTCCAATTACCTCAATTCTTTTTCCGCTCTTCTTCCTCTACTGTATTCTATTTTCACTCTCTAAGTTAATTTATTCCTTGAAGCTCAATCTTTGATTCTATACATTCTTTCTTTAAGAGAACAAATCTTTTCCATTTGACAAATTTGGCTGACTCATCTGTTTGAATCTTGCACCCAAACTGCAATCTTTATATTTTCACTTGATTGCTTGGATTTTACATTCTCAACCTTGAATAAGACATGATTAAAATAATCTGACCATTTGATCCTCAATTTTGATCATCATAATTCCAATTTTCCCGGTTGCCTAGATTGAAAACCCTGAGATCATCTATAGCTCTTTCCTTCTCCCCTCCTACATTAAATTGGTTGAGTCCTGTTAATGCTTTCTTTGAAATTCGGTCTTCATTATTTCATGCCTACACTACTGTTGTCATGGCTCCCCAAATGTTTTATGGGACTCTCCTTTTACATTTCCCCCATCCCGTTATTTCAATATACAGCTATAAGATTCCTTTTCCTAAGCAGATTTCAGAAGAATGTCCCTGTTCAATTTTGTTTGATGGTTGTCCAATGCCTAAAGTATAAAATCTAAACTTCTCAATATAATTTTTAAGTCTTTGAAGTCTCAATATAATTTTTAAATCGAAACTTTGCAACATAATTTTTAAGTCTTCAGCTCAACTCTTAAGAATCCAACCTAATCTCTTTAA